TTTTCACTATCTGTTCCTGTTGTACAGCCACGGGACGTACTCCTTCCCCTTGGAATAGCATATGGCACACTACCAGAGCGCATGTAGTGTCGTATATACTGACGTTACACAGGAGAATATTCCACTTCACTCTCGCTACTGGAACTGTTTTCAAGAGCTTGGAGTTTATATTCACTATCACTGTCATCACCATTGCTCACATCTGAGTCCTGGACATGGGAAAATAGGAGTTTCCTCTTTTGTTCTGGTACAACTGAACGTGAACAAGACAGCCCAGCACCAGAGGTTGAAGGTTGAGGGTCATCTGGGTTTTCCCTCACTATTACCGGTATTATGGTCATTAGTTTTGGTCACAACTTCCTCAAAACCATGAAAGTCATCTTCACTGACCCTCCCCTCTGTATTAGAACTGTCACTGGGGAACAAAAGTGTTCCAATTCGCCGAGGAGTGAGGTGTTTCTTAGTGTGAGGCATGGCGAACAAGGAGTACTAAAATGGCGTTCCCACAATGCACCAATGGGTCCCTAATTTTTTTGCTACAGCGTACACTGACCACACAGACCCAGTCTCTCACATCTAAGCCTACCAGCCTCTTCCCGCTTGATTTGAGGGCGCTAGAATTTATGCATACTAGTATGCCACCAACCCTGGCATGTAAAATGTACTAGTACGTCAAAAACCCTGAAAGGGTTAACATGCCCAATGTTTCCACCCATGCTGGGGATCAAACCATGGACACTCAGTGTGTGAGCTGAGAGTGCTGACACAGTGAAGTTTGACTCCTTATACATGTATATGACCTGCCTTAATTTGTCTATAGTGGTTGTGGAAAATATTTTTTGGTTGTGAAATGCTTATTAACACATCGGTTTATGTAATGTTGTATGTACACTTCGTTTTTGGAAAGCTTCTTTATTTGGATTAGTTTTAAGATAAAATAATATGATTTGGAGTAATAACATAAGTATTGGAGTATAAATGACGTAACTTTTATATGAGGAGATTCAGGAAAACCGATTCACCTGATTTGAGCCCTGGAGGTGGGAAGTGCAGCGCTTGTACTTTTAAGGTGGGGCAAGGATGTTGCAGTTGAAAAGTAATCTGAATTGTGATGTCAGACTATCTCTGGTATGTGGCTTAGCACTTCTTTTTTATTATAATAATAATATATCTGGTAATAGGTAGTAGGTTGGTAGACATCAACCACCCAGGGAAGTACTACCGTCCTGCCAGATGACTGTGAAACAGAAACCTGTAACTGTTTTACATGATGGTAGGATTGCTGGTTTTCTTTTTCTGTCTCATAAACACGCTAAGATAACAGGGATATCTTGCTACTCCTACTTACACTTTGGTCACACTTCACAGACACGCACATGCATATATATATATACATACATCTAGGTTTTTCTCCTTTTTCTAAATAGCTCTTGTTCTTTTTTATTTCTTCTATTGTCCATGGGGAAGTGGAAAAGAATCTTTCCTCCGTAAGCCATGCGTGTCGTATGAGGCGACTAAAATGCCGGGAGCAATGGGCTAGTAACCCCTTCTCCTGTATACATTTACTAAAAAAGAGAAGAAGAAAAACTTTATAAAACTGGGTTGCTTAAATGTGCGTGGATGTAGTGCGGATGACAAGAAACAGATGATTGCTGATGTTATGAATGAAAAGAAGTTGGATGTCCTGGCCCTAAGCGAAACAAAGCTGAAGGGGGTAGGAGAGTTTCAGTGGGGGGAAATAAATGGGATTAAATCTGGAGTATCTGAGAGAGTTAGAGCAAAGGAAGGGGTAGCAGTAATGTTAAATGATCAGTTATGGAAGGAGAAAAGAGAATATGAATGTATAAATTCAAGAATTATGTGGATTAAAGTAAAGGTTGGATGCGAGAAGTGGGTCATAATAAGCGTGTATGCACCTGGAGAAGAGAGGAATGCAGAGGAGAGAGAGAGATTTTGGGAGATGTTAAGTGAATGTATAGGAGCCTTTGAACCAAATGAGAGAGTAATTGTGGTAGGGGACCTGAATGCTAAAGTAGGAGAAACTTTTAGAGAGGGTGTGGTAGGTAAGTTTGGGGTGCCAGGTGTAAATGATAATGGGAGCCCTTTGATTGAACTTTGTATAGAAAGGGGTTTAGTTATAGGTAATACATATTTTAAGAAAAAGAGGATAAATAAGTATACACGATATGATGTAGGGCGAAATGACAGTAGTTTGTTGGATTATGTATTGGTAGATAAAAGACTGTTGAGTAGACTTCAGGATGTACATGTTTATAGAGGGGCCACAGATATATCAGATCACTTTCTAGTTGTAGCTACACTGAGAGTAAAAGGTAGATGGGATACAAGGAGAATAGAAGCATCAGGGAAGAGAGAGGTGAAGGTTTATAAACTAAAAGAGGAGGCAGTTAGGGTAAGATATAAACAGCTATTGGAGGATAGATGGGCAAATGAGAGCATAGGCAATGGGGTCGAAGAGGTATGGGCTAGGTTTAAAAATGTAGTGTTAGAGTGTTCAGCAGAAGTTTGTGGTTACAGGAAAGTGGGTGCAGGAGGGAAGAGGAGCGATTGGTGGAATGATGATGTAAAGAGAGTAGTAAGGGAGAAAAAGTTAGCATATGAGAAGTTTTTACAAAGTAGAAGTGATGCAAGGAGGGAAGAGTATATGGAGAAAAAGAGAGAAGTTAAGAGAGTGGTGAAGCAATGTAAAAAGAGAGCAAATGAGAGAGTGGGTGAGATGTTATCAACAAATTTTGTTGAAAATAAGAAAAAGTTTTGGAGTGAGATTAACAAGTTAAGAAAGCCTAGAGAACAAATGGATTTGTCAGTTAAAAATAGGAGAGGAGAGTTATTAAATGGAGAGTTAGAGGTATTGGGAAGATGGAGGGAATATTTTGAGGAATTGTTAAATGTTGATGAAGATAGGGAAGCTGTGATTTCGTGTATAGGGCAAGGAGGAATAACATCTTGTAGGAGTGAGGAAGAGCCAGTTGTGAGTGTGGGGGAAGTTCGTGAGGCAGTAGGTAAAATGAAAGGGGGTAAGGCAGCCAGGATTGATGGGATAAAGATAGAAATGTTAAAAGCAGGTGGGGATATAGTTTTGGAGTGGTTGGTGCAATTATTTAATAAATGTATGGAAGAGGGTAAGGTACCTAGGGATTGGCAGAGAGCATGCATAGTTCCTTTGTATAAAGGCAAAGGGGATAAAAGAGAGTGCAAAAATTATAGGGGGATAAGTCTGTTGAGTGTACCTGGTAAGGTGTATGGTAGAGTTATAATTGAAAGAATTAAGAGTAAGACGGAGAATAGGATAGCAGATGAACAAGGAGGCTTTAGGAAAGGTAGGGGGTGTGTGGACCAGGTGTTTACAGTGAAACATATAAGTGAACAGTATTTAGATAAGGCTAAAGAGGTCTTTGTGCATTTCATGGATTTGGAAAAGGCGTATACAGGGTGGATAGGGGCAATGGGCAGGATGTTGCCCAGAAGTGTAGTGGTGTTTGGATTGGTAGGTTACTGAAGCATGTGAATTGAAGGTTTTTACGAGGATAGTGAGGTCAAGTATAGAGTATGTAGGAAAGAGGGAAATTTTTTCCCAGTAAAAGTAGGCCTTAGACAAGGATGTGTGATGTCACCGTGGTTGTTTAATATATTTATAGATGGGGTTGTAAGAGAAGTAAATGCGAGGGTCTTGGCAAGAGGCGTGGAGTTAAAAGATAAAGAATCACACACAAAGTGGGAGTTGTCACAGCTGCTCTTTGCTGATGACACTGTGCTCTTGGAGATTCTGAAGAGAAGTTGCAGAGATTGGTGGATGAATTTGGTAGGGTGTGCAAAAGAAGAAAATTAAAGGTGAATACAGGAAAGAGTAAGGTTATGAGGATAACAAAAAGATTAGGTGATGAAAGATTGAATATCAGATTGGAGGGAGAGAGTATGGAGGAGGTGAACGTATTCAGATATTTGGGAGTGGACGTGTCAGCGGATGGGTCTATGAAAGATGAGGTGAATCATAGAATTGATGAGGGAAAAAGAGTGAGTGGTGCACTTAGGAGTCTGTGGAGACAAAGAACTTTGTCCTTGGAGGCAAAGAGGGGAATGTATGAGAGTATAGTTTTACCAACGCTCTTATATGGGTGTGAAGCGTGGGTGATGAATGTTGCAGCGAGGAGAAGGCTGGAGGCAGTGGAGATGTCATGTCTGAGGGCAATGTGTGGTGTGAATATAATGCAGAGAATTCGTAGTTTGGAAGTTAGGAGGAGGTGCGGGATTACCAAAACTGTTGTCCAGAGGGCTGAGGAAGGGTTGTTGAGGTGGTTCGGACATGTAGAGAGAATGGAGCGAAACAGAATGACTTCAAGAGTGTATCAGTCTGTAGTGGAAGGAAGGCGGGGTAGGGGTCGGCCTAGGAAGGGTTGGAGGGAGGGGGTAAAGGAGGTTTTGTGTGCGAGGGGCTTGGACTTCCAGCAGGCATGCGTGAGCGTGTTTGATAGGAGTGAATGGAGACAAATGGTTTTTAATACTTGACGTGCTGTTGGAGTGTGAGCAAAGTAACATTTATGAAGGGATTCAGGGAAACCGGCAGGCCGGACTTGAGTCCTGGAGATGGGAAGTACAGTGCCTGCACTCTGAAGGAGGGGTGTTAATGTTGCAGTTTAAAAACTGTAGTGTAAAGCACCCTTCTGGCAAGACAGTGATGGAGTGAATGATGGTGAAAGTTTTTCTTTTTCGGGCCACCCTGCCTTGGTGGGAATCGGCCAGTGTGATAATAAAAAAAAAAATAATAAATCTGGTATGACAGTAATTGAATGAATGTGTTTTCTCTGGGGCCCCCCCTGCCCTGGCAGAAGATGACGTTGAGGCAAAATAAAAAAATATGTATGAATTAATAAATATTTAAAAGTGATGGTAGCATTTGTTTAAAATTTGGAATTGGAAGTATGGCAGGATCATATTACTGAATACTGCCAACTCACTTTGGTATCATTAAAACAAATGACAACAATACATGTGATCCTTTATGTCATACTGAAACTTATATACTTAATAAAATAACTCTAGCATTGAATATTTTCTAAATTTGCCAGCTAATTATATCAGCAGGTACTTTCATCGTTTTTCCACTGTTCAGAAGCTTCATCACTCAGTAATGATCGTCTCTCTCTCAGGAATTCTCCTGCATTTATTTCCTGAGATGAGACAGGAGAGTAAGGGCCTTCTACTGGACGTGGTGGCTTAGGAATGTCATATATTTGCTCTGATGAAGGATCGGGATTTTCTACAATGGTGAGTGGCCGGCTGTTAGCATCGGTGCTGAAGGCTTCATTCTGGTTATGGAAAGAAAGGTGTATTCTAGTTAAATAGCCAAAATTAAACTTGTCTCACCCAAAATTTCCAAATTAAGAAATTGCACATCATTTTCTTTTAGTCAATTTGCCACTTTCATGAAGCAGGAAAGCTGTCACCTAGGAAGAACTGATGGCCACTGAAAAACACAGCTAAAGATAGAAATAATAACTAAACAAAATAATATTCAGCTGTTGTTAAAGAAAGTAAATCTTTTTATGTAGTCTAACCATACTGAACCAGGAATGTTGGGCTGGGAACTTTTTTTTTTTTAAATACATTTTGTGGTACAGCTGTATAGCCCTTGTGGCTTAGTGCTTCTTTTTTATTATAATAAATTTTGTGGTACTACAAAAATAGTCTCTACCAGTGTAAAAAACAAACAAAAAAACATGCAGGTGGTACTTGTCAATGTGTGTAGTATTTATCCTCTTGCAATATTTACATATGTACACTTGATGTAAACATCTAAAATTATGTAGAGATGAAGTAGAGGGAACTGGAGTGCATGTAGATTTTATAGCCACTTCTATTTAAGTGTCAGACTCATTACCTAATACATCATAAGTACACTTTTATTCAACATGGGTGTTTTTTCTTAAACAGTGACAGCAATGTGCTGCTGCTGCTTGCAGTTAGACCTCTCTCCTATATATGCATCCTGTATCATAGACATCTGCAAGACTTTGTACTTACTTATGAATGATTTTGTCTATATAACCTGCTTCACTATTTCTGTACTGTCATCAACTAGTTCCTTATTTCTCTTGTCACTTTCACTAGTGTTTGGGGTTAATACAACATAATGTATGGCATTAAGGGTTTGGTGAGTAAAAAAAATCTTGTCCAGTGGTAATGTTCATGCCTTGTGGTCACAACAAAGGTTCAAATCCCACACTGACCCTCCTACACTATTTGACTTTGTTACTCTCCACTGTACAGTGGACCCCCGGTTAACGATATTTTTTCACTCCAGAAGTATGTTCAGGTGCCAGTACTGACTGAATTTGTTCCCATAAGAAATATTGTGAAGTAGATTAGTCCATTTCAGACCCCCAAACATACACATACAAACGCACTTACACAAATACACTTACATAATTGGTCACATTCGGAGGTAATCGTTATGCGGGGGTCCACTGTATTTATTTAACCTTTCCGGGGTTTCGGCCGTACTAATACAGCTTACGCACCAGGGTATTTGACGTACTAGTACGCATAAATTCTAGCGCCCTCAAATCTAGCAAGAGAAAGCTGGTAGGCCTACATATGAAAGAATGGGTCTATGTGGTCAGTTTGCACTGTATTTTTGTATGGTATTTATGGTTGTATTCTAGTTTTCCTGGTCTTATTTTATAGAATGGAAGACATATTACAGAAATTGAGATGATTTCGATTGGTTTCACAATGAAAAGTACCTTGAAATTGAGCTCAAAGTAGCAGAAATGTTCGATTTTTGCCAAAGTTCATAAGTAAACAAATCGTGCCACGCGTCCAATACACGTCAACTGGTGAATCTAATATTCTTTCACAAGTGCGCTAGTATTATTTACACCCTTTCTACACTAATACAGTAGTCTACATAACAGTAAATCTATTTTTTTGTGAGAATAAAAATTCAAAGTGGAAAGCAAAAGAAATGTAAGAGGGGCGTGGGAATGTGACTAATGAACAGAGGAAATGTTATTTTAGTGCCAGGAATGTCTTTCTTGTTTGTTTATTCTGGACCCTATTTGGAAATTGGCATCTTTTGAAATTTGTGTGAAATTGGCAAAATTGTTAAATTCTGACCACTTTATTGGATAGTTGAAATCGGTAAATGGGTAGTTTCTTGTACTCATTTGATAGAAAAAACGGAATTCTAATGAAATAGTTATGATTTTTGTCGACTAGTACACTGAAATTGGCCGAAATTAGAGCTCAAAGTGGGCAAAATCGCCGATGCGTAAACATCGTCGAGACTGCTAACTTCGCGAGAGCATAATTCTGTAAGTTTTCCATGAAATTTCATACTTTTGGTGTCATTATCATTGGGAAAAGATTCTCTATCTTTTCATAAGATTTTTTTTTTTTTTTTTTTTTTTTTTTAAATTTTGGCGACCCTGAGAGCAAGTCTCTGAGAGGGCCTGGCGACCCTCAAAGGGTTAAATTACTTTTGGTAATTCCTTTTGACATCATTACATATTTTTCATATGTATACTGAGATTACTGTACTACAGTAATAATAAATAGCTATCTGCAAGTAACCGAAAACTGTAATAAACAGATGCAATTTTTTCGTGGATTGCAGGGGACTGAACCAGGGACTCTCTTCTCTTTAACCAATTTTTTTTTATTTTTAACTCAACTTTCTCCTGCCAGCATTTTGGAAAGAAACAGTACTCAATGTAAAATATTGGGTAAATATTCTTAGTTAACAAAAATAAATGAAAGCAGATGCAGAGTACAGTAAGGCCCCGCTTTACGGCGTTCCGCTAATACGGTGATGTCAAATTATGATCAAAATTTGCTATACGGCAAGCGGTCTTTTAAATACGGCGCCCCCCCCACCCGGTTTGTTTACATTTTCCGTGACCACATCTATTATGTCGGGAAACTTTCCAAAATTTAAAGTGTTTTAAAGTTACTGCATATTTTATATGTACTCTGATAATTATACTTATGTGTACCTGTACTTAAATATACTTACACACTGTGCAGGTACACATTAAAATCGCTAAGTCCCTCTCTACTCATGACGTAATAATAATCACTCTTGGGCACACTAAATGTCTTACATCAATATAGGCATTTTCATTAATCCATCTATGATATTTCCCTCAAAATTATATATGAAACCCATTACATAGCATATAAACATGATACATACACTCAGAATAAAAATTGATGTAAATATGAGATTTGTTTACAAAGCAGCTGTGTGGGTAGTGTTGGAAGAATTACGTTTTCTCTAGTCAAACACTGGGGGGTAACTGTAGAAAAATATTCTTTTCGTATGCCTTTACTCTATGTATAGCAATTCACGACCCTTGTGGGTTTAGTGCTGTTTATAATAATAAATAATAATAATAATAATACTATTATTAATATTAATAATAATATCATTATTATCTTCATTCACTCTAAAAATGGTGTGTTGCTGTTTGTTTATTCTGAACTAACTTGTACAACTTGTACACAATATAAGAGTATTTGTATTGTGAGGTAATTATTATTAAAATAAAAAATATTGAGGTAAATGTTTTACAAACTCTTGCAAATGGACGTGAATGAACTAAAAGTAGACACATATTAATACGCATTTCGCCTGACCAAGTGATCGTCCACTACCTGTTCAGTTTGTGTTCTTACATTGTCTCACCTCTGTATCTCGCGCTCTCTCTCGTTTACTCTTTCGTTAACTAGTTGGCTCTCATTGACGATGGCGTCTAAGGTTAGCTGTGATAAAAAGAGAAGTCGTAAGCCTCTTGCTTTAAGTGCCAAGTTGGAGGATGGTGTGCCATTTTGATTTTATTCAATAAACACCCTGCCACTTACCTCTCACACATTAATATTAATATTTTAAGGTAAGTAATAAGTGTACTCTGTGTGTATCTTACCTTTTATTGTGTTTTTAATGCCTATTTCTATTGCTAACTTTGTAAACTTGTTGTCTGGTATTTATTGCATATTTATATGCTCTGATAATAATACTTGTGGAGCCAGGTGGAGGGACAACATTACGTTTTCTCTGCTCAGCCATCAGAGAAAACGTGTATGAATCTGCGTTTGGCCCAGCCACTCCCTCACTCCGCTTTTGTTTACAATTTTCGGCATGAATTATTCATTACTTCTACCTTCGTTTATGATGGCATCTAAAGGTAGTTGTTAGAAATTATTAAATTCAGTGAACAAGGCTAGTCGATGTTAATAATATGGATCTGGGCCACAGTGTAGGTAGCCAGTAGGTGTAGCCCAGGCTACATCTACCGGCTACCTACACTGACTTTATACAAATAAATACTACTCACCTCTTCCTATATTAAGACTACACATATTTTAAGGTAAATAATGAGTGTACTGTATGTGCATTTTACCTCTCTGGGATGTTTTAAATATCGTATATTAAGTATGAGACGGGGAGCCAGTGCTACCTACACCTGGGATACCTGCACCTGACTTCCTACAAATAAGTACTACTCACCTCTCTCCCTACATTAACATTACAAATACTTTAAGATAAGTAATGAATTTACTGTGACTGTATTTTACTTTGTGTGTTTTTAATGCCTAGTTCTATTACTAACTTAATATAATTTAGTGTAAACTTGTTGTCTGGCATTTATATGCATTTATAAATGGAAAAAATGGAGTTCTGCTTTCCGGCGACAGCCTGGAACCTAACCCGCCGTATAAGTGGGGCCCTACTGTATTATGGCTCTGGAATGTATCTCTCATTTTAGCATGGGTGTCAATGGAAAATAAGTTCACAGTTCTAAACAGTCCAGTGAAACAATATTCAGAAACATGAACATTATAAGCTGGGGCCCCACTGTACATGTTAATCTCATTCTTGTGTTCTTTTTATTCTACTGATTGATTTATGAAAATTTAATTGAGCGTATTTTATATTTTTTTTAATTTACAGTATTAACCATTATTACTGATACATGATCAGACTGTAGAGAGAAACAGTTTAAAGACAAGCCTTTATTTTTTAAATATTACACTTGGCTTGGCTGGACTAAAAAAGCTCTCATTGAGTTAAATATAATCTGAAAACAAAGAGGCATCTTTGCCTGCTGTAATTGTTATAAATTCCTAGCCATCCATGTTCAAATTGATGAATTTTAAAAAGACAAGGCTTACACTCTTCCTGCAAGTCTCGCTTATGACCACAGCTATGCTGGCTAAAAAAAAAAAAAGTGTTATAGGCTTAAGTATCAAGAGAGTTGGTATATAAAAGTAAAATTGCAGTGCGACAATTTGAAGTCAAGCAAGGGACATTAAACAACAGCCCATGACAATGATAGTCTACTGACTTCAGACAGAAATATTGCTAACCCAGCCATAGTGGTCATGACACTGATAATCAGCTCACCTTTTGTTTATTGTTAAGGGCAAGCAGAGGGTGCCCAGATAACCGCTGCCATGTAATATTCATATGCTGCATCAGGCTAGTACTGTCATCATCCTCTGCACCATGATTTTTTATGCTCCATTCTATTCTCCCTAGCCCCATATCATCCACTTCTTTAAAAATATCAATGTCTCCCCTTCCCCACTCTGATTCTTCTTGCTGTCCTACCTCATTCTTTTCTTCTGCTGATGTCTGCTCCCCTTCTTGCTCTTGAGATGTGTTACTGTGCACGGGTACTGCTACCTTTCTCTGTTCACTGTTGTGAGGTGGAATCTCCTGTTGAACCATTAAACTGTTACATTCTTACTACAAGTATGATACTACAGTATGAAGAAAAACTAACTCACAATTTTTGTTTATTAAAAACCCCTCAAGAGAGGTTCTTGTTGCAAGGAACTGAACCTATCTTCCATGTTACTGTACCTAACCTGATTGCCTCTTGTTACTCCAGGTGGTGTATGACCCCTACAGAGGGCACTTACCTTTGAATATAATACAGTAATAATATAAGAAGGTTTTGTGGGCAAGGGGCTTGGACTTCCAGGAAGCGTGTGTGAACGTTTTAGGAGTAAATGCAGAAAAATGGTTTTTGAGACCTGACGAGCTGTTGATTGTGAAGATAAGATAAGATAAGATTTCATTCGGATTTTTAACCCTGGAGGGTTAGCCACCCAGGATAACCCAAGAAAGTCAGTGCGTCATCGAGGACTGTCTAATTTATTTCCATTGGGGTCCTTAATCTTGTCTCCCAGGATGCGACCCACACCAGTCGACTAACACCCAGGTACCTATTTGCTGCTAGGTAAACAGGACGACAGGTGTAAGGAAACGTGTTGAAATGTTTCCACCCGCCGGGAATTGAACCCGGGCCCTCCGTGTGTGAAGCGGGAGCTTTAGCCACCAGGCCACGGGGCCACAGGGTAATATTTTGCGAAGGGATTCAGGAAAACTGGTTAGCTGGACTTGAATCCTGGAACTGGGAAGTACAATGCTTGTACATTAGAGGGGTTAAGGATATTGGCTGTTTGGAGTGACATCTAAACTGTTATATCTGAGTGCCTTATGATTATGCATGAATGATGGTGAAAGTTTTTTTCCTTTGTTTTTGGGTTTTTCTTTCTTTTTGGGTCACCCTGCCTTGGTGGGAAATGGCTGATGTATTAAAAAAAAAAACAATAATAATAATATACTGTTTAAAATGTCTCAGTATTAAGATTGCCCTTCAACTTCAACATCCCCACCTCTTCTTCCGAGTGTAGGCACTGCCCTTCTCACCTCCAGGACTCAAGTTTGCTTAACTAGCTTCCCTTGAATTCTTTGATAAAACTTAACTTGTTTAAACCTCAAAAGCATATCCATTAAAAAACACTTGTTTCTATTCATTCCTTTCTAACCTATTTACATGCCTGCTGGATGCTTAAGCCTCCTAAGCTGAAATTTTCTATTACCCCATCCATCCTGGGACAACCACCTACCCCTCCTACTTTCCTTCCCAGATTTATACACCCTCTTTTTTTATGTATCCTCCTCCACTCTCTCTACCTGCCCAAACCACCTCAACCCCAGACCATCTTTTAATTTCTGTAATCTAGTCTTTGCATGATATTCACACCATTCATTGCTGCCAAACATGACATCACCACTGCCTCTAGCTTCCTTTTTGCTGTAGCACTGAAAACCTATGCCTCAGTCATAATTGTGTTGGTACCACTTTACAGTAGAACCCCTGTATCCACTGATTCTGTATCTACAGTTTCAGTTATCTATGGTTTACCATGGCCCAAAAATGACCTTTAAGTTTACTTAGTAATGACCCCAAAGTGCAAAGTAGTGATGCTTGCAGTTCTTCAAAGCCTAAGAGAAGCTATGAAATG